TTCCTCCCGATGAGTCATAGATGTGATGAGAGAGCATTAGTGAGCCTCCAGCTTCTGTCTCCTGCACGGGTGGCGAGCTTCTGGAATGGCTCTCTGACCCATTTTTTGGCTGAATAGTAAGTGTGCACAAAAGGTCTGAGAACCGAACTATTGAAATGCCTCCCTCCCGGGTACCAAGGTGATGACTAACAGGTCAGGGCGAGTTTAGATCAAGCACAGGGCCTGCTCTCCCCGCAGAACGGGCCCTGGTACTTGGGGGCCCCTCCGTGCCATCCCGGATATTTGGAATTCCATCACACACACATGTTTTCTTTGTAAAGACTTCTGGCTTCACCCTCCACGTACCACTAACCCAGAAACTCGACACGCCAAATAACCGGCTAAGCCCAAGGAATGCAAATGTTTAAGGCCCACCGCCTGCGATGTCTCTCAGACTAAACTGAGGAGGTTTAAGAGCTTTTCTCAGCTTTGTGTGTGTGTGTGCATGTGTGTGTGTGTGTGAAGAAGGTTCAAAGGGAAATGGGACGATTTCCAGTACCTGTAATTCCACTGCTGCCTCTTTCGGCCCATCAGTCCCGCTGCCTTGGCCTGGGGAGTGGGTCAGAAGCTCAGGAACTGAGACTATGAACGGAGCAGAGGAGAAGCCAGATGCTTATTTTAAAAAGGGTGGGGGAGGGTCTTCCACTGGAGCCTGGGGAGTGACCCCTCCTGATCACGCCAACCTCTCACGAGTAGAACTTCCTATAAGTCCATCCCACGAAAACAAGCCATGATGGGAGGTGTGGCCCCAACAGCACCAGTGACGTCAACAAAAAGTCCCCACAAGGAAACAAGAGACATGGAGCCCACGGTCCAGGGCACCTTCAAAAGGAAGATCATGCTCAGCCGGAGGGGTGGGGGGCAGCCACGCAGGGGTGCGGTCAGACCCTACAATGGGGATAAGGTGATGGCTGAAATGTAATCGGCTGATTCAGCCCCACTGTGTGCCCCACCTTGTTGAACTAGGTAGATGGAGGTCCTGCCCTCATGGAGAAAGACAGTCAACCCACAACCATGGGATATGGGCTGATTAGATCAAAGATGTCACCTTTTCCACAGTCAGGGAAGAGGCTGGCTAGCTCATTCATTCGTTCATTCATTTCCTCGAACAAGTTCCCACTGAGCCCCGTGCTGCCCCGGCCTGTGTGCCAGGCAGGCACCAGGACCTGACCTTGGTAACCAAGACCTCGCCCTAGGGGATGTTTCAGTGACTCCCACCACACCCCCAGGACTCTCATGGTGCCTCCTGGATTCCTTACAAGCCCCCAGGTCAGGCACTGAACGCAGAGACAAGGCCTAGCTCTGTGCGACCAGTTCCCTCAGCGATGTGGGGTGAATCCACCTGGCTGGGGTAGGGAGGGAGGAGGTGTTGTGGGTGGACCCGGGAGTCACAGAGGGCAGTCCTGTCCCAGAGACAATAATGGTTAATTATCACCCTCCAGTCTGTCTTGCTCCTGCTGTAACGCCCGCCCCCCCCCCCACAGAACAATAGCAGACAGTGGGCGCCCAGTAAATATTTGTAGAAGGAGGCATCTGCTGTGTAAATTTGAGAGGGCGGCAAAGAGGAACCAGAGTTGGGGGAGGGTGCCCAGAAGCAGTGAGAAACAAACACCACCGGGACGTCAGGGTCCTCAGCAGAGACCTCTGGCCCTGTCCTGAGCAGGTGAGTCTGGCCGCCGCAACAGAAGTCACTTGACCCAGCGGGCCTGAAGTATGGCTCTCCTCCTCCCTCTGAGGAGAGGCCCACCTCTGACCCCAGGACCAGGCCGCAGGTGGCGGCCCGGGGCCAGGCCCAGGCGGGGTCTTTCCAGGTCTCGGACGGGATCCCTGGGGACAGGAAAGGCGAGGAGGCAGCAGCTCTGGCAGTCCCAGGACCAGAGGCGTGGACTCAGGAGCTCATGGAAACCGGGTTGTCCTGCCTCCAACCACCGGGCTGGACAGCGCTCTGAAGCCTCCGGTTGAGAGGTGGCCCTATCAACAACAACCCCCACCCAAGCCGCACCAGACGAGCCTGGGCCCAGCAGGGCCCGCACTCCAAAGCTACATAAAATCCGCTGCCTCCGCCACTGTCACCCAGGTTCACTCTGCCCCTTCCCGCCCTGCGACCCCCTCTCTCTGATCCGGGTGGCCACCCGGGGCTGCTCCACAGTGAGGCCTTCTCCCTGCTCACATCAGCCTCACACGCCAGGACTTCACCAAGCCCAGAACCCCAGACTGTCTCAACCTGACTTCAGGGGGTCCCAAGGCAGGGAGCAGCAGCAGGGCCCAGCGCTGTCCTTGTCCCTCCACCTGCCTCCTCTCTGGCCCCTGCATTTCAGTGCTCCCAAGGCGGAGCAGCCTTTGCAGGTGAGGCCCTGGCCTGACGGGGTGGAGTGTGTCTCACGGACAAGGCGAGCCCCACGTTGTGGCCTTGGTGGCTCCCAGGCTGGGCCTCCGTTTGCCTCTCTCGCCAGCCTGCCATACCCACACACTGCCCTGCAGCCCACACGATGTTGCTGCTGGCTGCCCTCCCAGCACTGTCCCCTCGGCTCCCACCTCCCAGCCCGTCCCTACTCTTCAGGACCTCCCTTCCTGGCCAAGGTTGGACTCCTGGCAAGAGTCTTTCCTTGGAAATTTCCCCTGCACCAGTCCCTATGCTGTAGCTACAGCTCATATGACTGTCCCCTCAATGGATGGAGACTCCTCAGGGGGTCCCTGCTGTACCAGAGCCTGGCAGAGGCCCTGACCTGGGTGAGCTGCCCATACTGCTAGATGACAAAGGAACAATTCTCTAAATGAAGGAAACAATGGCCTACGAGGCACGAGCCACGCTTCAGTCAGTCCTTTGTTTAGTCCCTGCGGTGATCCTCATGCCCATTTCTATGATTATGGAAACTGAGGCTCAGAGAGGCTAAGTCATCTGTCCAGGATCCAGGTCGATAGCCAGAATCAGAACTCATGGTCTTCCCAGGATGCTGGATGCCTGAAAGTGGAGGTGGGGTGGCCTTAGGGAAAAAGAGGAACATGACCGGAGGGCCATGTCCCCCAGTGCCTGGAGATCCTGTGCTCAGGAGATGCTGGGGAGGAAACACAAAGAGGTAGGGGCCCAAGAGAACAGACATAAGGGGCAGCGAGACCGGGAAGGACCAGAGTTGGGGAGGCACAAGGACCACCTCCCAAGGACCCAGGGGCATCACGGGCCTCTGGGTGTCCACACCCATCTTCACCCCTCACCAACTCAGCCCAGACCCCTCGGGGCCTCCCTCACCAGGCCACAGGAAACGCCATCCCTCCCCACGATGCACCTGCCCCAGAACCACCTGCCCGGAAAGGGAGAGTGAGGGCAGTGACTTCCTGTGGTCCCCACCTGGCTGTCACAGGCATGACTGTCCACCACTTCCCCTGGCTCCCGTGGGACTCTCGGTCAGACCCTCGTACCAACCTGGGCATCGGGAAGTTCCAGAAGAGCCGGGGCACAAAAAACCAACAACGGTCGGGACTCCCCTCAGGCCTTCGCCCGTGTCCCTGTTTCCTGTCTGCGCGCCCCAGCAGCGACCAGGGCAGGAGAGAGCCCGGCATCGAAGGCCCTTGGCGAATGCGTGGGATGAACGGAAAGCCGACGGAAAATAAAAGCAGTCACCCGAGAAGCCCGCGGCACTGCAGGGGCTCAGGAGAACCGGCCCCCTCGCCACAGGAAATCAGCTGCGTGCGGCTGTGAGACTCTCTCTTCCACCTGGTGGCCAGAAAATCTCCACCCCACACACACGTGCACGCACACACATACACACGCACATACACACACTTTACCCCTTCACTTCTTGATGGGAAAGCAATGAGTTTTGGTTCTGGCTTCCAACCTTGGATCCTGGACAAATCACTCGGCCTCTTCCAGCCTCAGTTTCCACATCCGTAAAAACAGATTCCCAGACACCTAAACTGGAAACCTGGGAGTCATGCTGATTTGGACGACAGTATTTATGAAGTGCTTACTACACACCGAGTATCATTGAAGCGCCTAAGCATACGCACATCCCCTTCCACCAAAGATCTCTTTCCTACTTTCCTGCCTCCTCCCTCTTCAGTCCTTACATGTCCTAACGGCCGGCGTCAGTATCACCTCCTCCAGGAAGCCCTCCTGGATTCACCAGCTGACCCTCAACAAAATCCTCCAGAACTCTACTTGCCTCTCATTGCCTTTATTACCCTCTGCCTAACATGATATAGCTTGAGAGTTACTATATATTCACCCTTCTCCCCTTCCAGAAAGCACACAAAGCAAGCACTCAAAGGCCAGGATTAAGGATTATAAATTCCAAGACATGTTCCTTGCAGCAGGAAGATGCGTGTGCAGTAAGGCCCCACCCCACCTCAGGTTTTGGATCCCAGTTATGGCACCTGGGAGCTCACAAGGTCAACTCATTCCATCCACTGGCTCCTCTTACACCCCCATTTCACAGGTGGCAAACTAAGGCCCAGGTCATAGAGGCAGGAAGTACCAGAACAGGACTCCAGCCTTCTCCATCTAACTCCCAGGCCAGGTTCATAACTGCTCCAGCCTGGGCTCCCAGACTAGAGGCAGCTTCTGGGACCGCAGCCTCCAGAGAAGAAATCGTGGATCATAGATGCCACCCAGCAGAATGGTGTGTTTGTGCTCCGAGGCAGAGGGATACACATGGGCTGTGAGATCCCCAAACACTCCCATACCTGTTGTTAAATAGTGATTTCCCTGAGCCCCTGGGTGCCCCTGCATTGATCAGCCCCTTTGCCACGACCACGCCCCCTCAACATCCAGCAACAAAAGGGGTCACACCAGGCAGGCAGTAGTCCCAGGACCGAACACCAATGCCAGGTCTGCTCTGCTTGGCCAGTGCCCACGCCAAACCAGCATTCAGACATTACCAGCAGAGCACGCGCGCGCACACACACTCACATACACACACCCCCGTCCCTTGCCCCTGGGCACACCACCATCTCCAACTCACCTGAAGCAGGTGGCCCAGCCAGCTGGGCAGTGTCTCCTTCCCAGGCCCAGTCCTTTGGGAGGCGCAGCGAGCCCTGGGGCAAGTGAGGCCAGCTGTCTCACCTGGCATCTTTCCCTTCCCCAGATCCCCTCCCTGACCCCATGGGGTTTGGGCTGAGCAAGGAGGCCCCTGTTCCCTCTGCAGGACCCGGTGGCCGCTGCACCTCCCTGACCTCCAGCACCTGGTCCCTGCTGGTAAATGACTAAGCGATTTCCACCTCAGAGCCCGCCTGCCAAGAGGCCCCGCTGGCTGCCGAACGGCCCCGGGATGCCCGGAGCCACATGCAGTAAACCCATAATTGGCGAGTCCTCTTCTTGGGAAAGAAAACCCCCTCCATATTTTGTTTTGTTTTGTTTTCCCCTTAAATGAAACAAATCCACCCACGTAGTTACTGGAAACTCAAGCATGTGAAACTGAACCGTTTGCAAAGAGAATTAGTCAGCAACCTTGTGAGCAGAGGAGCAGTCCCTCCACGGGTGGAGCTGCCTGTGCTCTCGAGGCTCCCGTCCAGGAGGGGAGCAGGGTGGCAGCGACCTCCGCGCCAGGTTTCCCAAACTGCAGGTGATGCCCCGGGGGTCAGTCAGCACGAGGACACGCTGCCACCTGAGGGCAAGTCCGCTTGCACTGGGTTGAGGGTGAAACGCACTTCTCACTGCTGTACATGGGCGATGGTCAGAAGTCCAGGCTCAGGGATCAGGCTCATGGTCAGACCCCATCCCCTCCAGTTAGTTGAGCCCCCAGGTCTCAGTTTCCTCGTCTGCAGAATGAGGCTAACAGATGCCAGGCGCGTAGTCAGATCCCTAGAGACACCCTAGGGCAGCTCGTTGCGCCGGTGCCTGACCGGCAGTCCTGAATGCTGACTCTTCAGAAGGTGCCTTGCACCGGAGACTAAGGGGAGTGGGTGGGACTGGCAGGACTTTGGCCCTCTGGGTGCAGTGGAGTTTGCTGAGTTGGTTCCCAGCCCTGCTGCCTTACCCAGGATGTGGCATCATCAGGCCAGGTGCCAGCAGGTACAGGTCTGGTCCCAGCGCCCTAAGCCCCAAGCTATGTGACTCCACCGGCCTCTGGCCTTGCCCTCCTCGTCTGTGCGGGGAGGGCACAGACATTCTAATCTGTGCTATTTCTCTAAGAACAAACAAACAAAAAACCCACTAAGTCATTTACCTACTTAAAAAAAAAATCTGGATTCCTGGCTTCTCTTAGAGGAGAAAGAAGTGGACTGCAATGCACTGGCCTCCACATCTCTGGCAAGAGAGGCCACCCCCTTGTACAGGACACCCATGCTGCTCCTCCACAGTCCCCCCTGCCCCCATAGCCTTCCACGCACTGCGACATTTGTGCGTCCTTCCTGGCCTCTGGGGGAGTCTCAGTTTGTGACCCAGTTTAAAACCCTCATTTTATTTGGGAGCATGACCTCAGCCACTTGTCACTTGAAATATCCACAGGAAGTGTCCCTCGGGAAGGTAATTAAAGTCTGATGCTTAAGGCTGATTTTTCTCAAAGAGAGACATGACAATGTAAGAAGATCTATGCTCTACTCTGGCTGAGGGAAACCCAGGAAGGAGGTGGTAGTTTTCTGAAATTCCTTCTGTGACTCACTAGACAAAGAGCAGAAGTGAGTGCCCGGGGTCCTGCCCTTCATTGCCCGAATCTCCCTCCCTCTCCTTTTGTTTATGAACCAAAGAGGGGTCTCGTTCTTTGGACCTCACCCCTCTGGGACCTGCAGAATGTGGGCAGTGGGAGTCAAGATACTGACAAGTGGAGCCTTCAGGAGCTTCTAGGACAGCTGCTGCAGAACGAGCGCTGCCAGCTCGCTTGAGCTGGCCAGCCGTCTTGCTTATTTAAGGGGGCGGGGAAGGTAGGATTCAGCCGACACATCCGAGCCTTCTCACAGCTCAGCAGAGATGTTGAAAATATCCAGGGGATATTTGAGGACAATTTCTAGCTGTCTTGGTTGCTCCTGAAGGGAAAAAGTCAAGACTCAGGACCTCCAGTGTCCTGGCCTTGCTAATGACACTTGGCTCATTCAACCTCCATGGAGCGCCTGCACAGGGCCAGCCCCGCCTCGCGACATAGCAAAGCCAGGCTAGACCCACCTCGACCTTGCATCGCAGCACCTCCTGAACCAGTCCTCCTCTCCCTGTCTCAGCTCTTGCACCTCCTCCACCTAAGGGCACCTTTCCTGGGCCCTCTCCTTTGTCTGGCTAAGGGCTGCTCTCCTCCAGAAAGTTCTCCCCCATCACCCCCCGAAGCACCCCAGGCACACCCGTATCACAGAACTTACACGGTGCGGTATCCCTGCGACCACTGCCTCTGGACCCACTCCCCATCCCAGCCAGATCATAAGCCTTCTCACGCTCAGAGCCCGTGTGGGGCAGTGATTCAGAGCACAGACTGGGTCTGCGACCAGACTGACTTGGCTGTGTGATCCCAGGCAAATAATTTGATTTTTTTGTGCTTCAGTCTTCCCATCCGTAAAATGGGCATAATAAACCCTACTCAATGGGGTTCTTGGGAGCAATATAAGTTAACTCATGGAAAGTGTTGAGAACGGTGCCCGCCGTGCTCAGTAAACACGAAGCAAACTGGTCTAAATCCAGGAGGAAAAGGTGGTCCACGTGTGCAGGTCCACCGGGGATGCACACAGCCTCGGGCCTGGATGGAACAATTGGCACTCACTGCCGCTGGCCACTTCACCTCTGCATCCTCCACACAGCCCCAGACTCTGCCCAGGCAGCCTTCAACAGGTGCTTTACAAATCCATGCTGCTTCAGTGAGAGGACACCACATGAGATTGTCCAGTCCTCAAAATTCAGCTCATGAGCCGCTCACCCAAGAAACCTCCATAACTATACCTGCCTACGACGCTACCAGAGCTACTGAGACTCCGGAAAACTGCAGCCCCCCAGCCCGGCTCCCCCCTGCAGGGCAACGAATCCCGCATTAGCTCCTGCTGTATACACTCTGAGCCTCGAAGAGACAGCCTCCCACTGCTACAAGGTCCAGAAAGATCAGGTACTATCTGCTTTGTCTTGTAAAAAATTCAGGGGAAACAGTTACACCAAGACAAAACTTGATCATCATGGGTCTCCCCGTGGCTGAAGGAAGGAAAGCCAGCCCCACTCTTCCGCTTTGTCTGAACACAGCTATTTAATCTGGCTAGCGAAGAAGCATAGTTCAACCCAAGGAGAAAATTCCCCAAGGATCCTTCAAATGCACCTTCCAGGGGAGAAAATTGAGACCACACCCCCAAACCCAAAACGTGATGGTTAAAACCACATCTCACACCCAGCGCCCCGCAACTCGGGCAGCACTGTCTTGGATGCCACCGCTCAACCCTTCTCCTAACCTTTGTCTCCCTCCACAGGGTTGCCGAAGCGTGCTGGGGCAGGAGGGGACAGGAGAAAACCATCCCAATCTGCTTCTATGAGTGGCCCACAAACTTATTTTAGCAGTTCAAATGACTTTCCCCCAAAGTTAAGCCTTGTACAAAACCCTGCCCCGTTCAAGAAAAAAAGAAAAGAAAAAAGTCTAACTGCTCTGTTCAAATGGCCTGTCTTTCCGCTCTGCGTGGCCCCCCTGAGGCTCTGCGGGAAATGAGGGGCCAGGGATGTGGTGTCCACACCCCCACCCATGGGACAGAGTCCCTCACCGCCTTCAGAGCAGGTGGTCCCGGGACACCCCATACCCTGATGTCAGAGCCGCCAAGGAAACAAGAGCACAGTTTCAAAGCCCCAAAGCCCCGTCTGACCCTTCTGGGACTTGGTTGTTATCCCTAAGGCTGGTCTGCCCGGAAATGAGGATGTCCCCTACGTGCAGTCGAACTGGATGATGGAGCAGTGACTGCAGCCAGCGAGACGCAGACACGGGGCTCTCGACACCGGCCTCTGCCCTTGCATGTGTTCGAATTTTTCCATTCAAAAAAAAAAGTGTAAACACTGACTGCAAAGCAAAACCTCAGCGGAGGGAGAAACCCCAGTCATGGCTCAGACTCAGCTCAGACACCGCAGCAGCCGAGACAGAGCGGGCATTCAGGGAACACTGGCTGAATGATGAAGGAATTAAAAAAAAAAACCCTTTATCCGAGCTGTCCAGACACCCCTGAGTGTGACCCGATGGTGAGGAAGACGGGCTTTCTGGGACCCTGGAGAGGGGTGCAGGGCAAAGAGAGAAAACACGAGATATACAAAACGGGCTCAGAAAGCTGGAACTAGGAGGAAAGGGGAAAAGCCCTGTCTTTTGAACCTCACATTTCGCCAAAGACGGGGAGGATTCTTTAAAGGGACCCTGACGTTTATGTATAATTTATACATAAGCTTCACAAAGGCAGGGTGACTCTTCTCATTAGAGCTTCTTAAAATCTCCAAAATGAGCCCCTCAGACCAGCAAAATCCCTCGCAGGTCTTCCCCTCCCTCCCCTGTCTCATCCGACAGAAATCCACAGAGGCACCCCCAGAACTTGGCTGGGTCCCTCTCCCCACAACGACAAAAACAGCCATCCTGTCCTCTGGATCCTGTGTTTCATCTCAGGGTGGCATGAGGTTCCCTGGGATCCGCCCAGCAGGCAGATCCACCAACACAGCCCGTCTCCTGTGTGGCCCGTTAGCCCCCACACCCGAGAAAAGGTGCCCAGCCACAGTGCAGCCCTGCCCCAGCCAGAAACCCCAGCCCTGGTCAGACCTGCGGCCAAATCGCCAGGCAGACGGCGAATGATGTGCCCAGAGGGTCCCCAGCGCATCCAGGCCAAAGGGCCAGGGCGCTGAACTGGTACTCCTAGCACTAGTTCTCTGGCCAGTGTTGAGTGCACTGCAAATGGAGACAAAATTTCTAATTTATGCACAGATCCTTGGAGCAATGTTTGGGGCGAATGGGGTAGGGGAGGGACGCAGTCTCCAGTGCCCACTTGGAACCCCTGGACCCAGCATTCAAGGCCTCCCTGCTACACAGCAGCCTCCCGGTGATCCTTATGACAACGAGTCCCTCTTCCTCAGCAGGAGGGCAGGGGGTCACTCTGCCTCCCTGCCCCCAACCTCGGAAACCCCACAGCCTGCAATCATCCTTCCCAGTCACAGGAGGCCTCGCCATCCACTCAGCACACCTGGCAGTGAGCTAGTGTTTCCTGCACACACCTGTCGTCTCCACCTGCTCCATACCAGACGCCCC